ACACACACACACACACACACACACACACACACACACACACACACATCTTACGCCCTTACAGTCTTCAAAACTAATACCAGAAAAATTTTTTGGTACTTACGATTCATAGTCGCGTGATCTTTTCTAAAAGATCGGTCATAATAGAAAGTTACTGTGCGATCATCTGCAAATAAATAATGTATTAAAATGTGTTTTTTCATACTTAATTTTCATATCAGTAGCAACATGTAAATTATATGTACAAGTTCGAGATATCATCGACGCAATTCTAATGCGTAAATCATTATTTATACGCACACATACATCGCATAAAATATATTTTTATTTTCTTATCATCGCGTCTGTGATATGCATCTTAGAACATCCCTCAGGCGACTAATTGTTCATTTCCGAACCGATCCACGCTTGCTTCCGTTCCGACAAAAAAAAAGAGACAGAGAAAAAAAAGGAAGAAAAAATAGGAAAAGAAGAAAACAAGAAATAGGAGTTAAATGTTTATATCATTATTTGTATTTTTATTTTATTATTTTAAAATATGAAAATAGTTTATAGATTTTTACAAATATTAATACATTAAATGTCGCGTATATATAATCAATAAATTAATTATTTTATAAATATTTTTTTAGAGGCTAAAAATCTCGTCGCAAAAATTGTTTTATAAATTTTGATAAAACATGTTTTTTTTTTGGAAAAATAAAGTAACACTGAAGATTTAAAAATTGACTGACATTATATTTGTTTCCTAAAAATAGATTTTATTTTTATAAGTTTTGAACTGATCTCTCTGTCTCTTTTTATCACAATTTTGTAAAAATGCATGGAAAATGCATAAATAATTAGCATAAAAAGTTAAATACGGTCTATATAAATGTTTTCATTTATCATAAAATTAAAAGATTCCGATAATTGTAAATAAAGAGATATATAGGACCGTAAAAATAAAATTTTAATAATATCGCGACACAAGGTAAATTAAATTTGGATTAACTAGTGCGATCGCTTCATATATTGTACACAAAAGATCTGATAATATAGTTTAATATAGTAATAAACTATAAATTATACAATTTTATGTATGAATATGTAATCTGAAAATACGGGCTTCTCTCTCCTCAAAATGCCCATTCTGTTGTAGCATATTAAACCAAAGACCGTTCGATATCTTATTGTTGTTATTTCAATACTGCCTTTTCCCCCTCAATATGATTTCTTTAAAAAAAAAAAATAATTCAAAATTCTCACAAAGAAGTGTATAAATCAAAATTAATGATTTGACATGTAATAAATCCTAATCCTAACAATTTTCTAGTTATGTTATCTTGCATACATATTTCATTATTTGCTTTTTAATAAGTGTATTAGCAAAGCAATTCTTCGATCATTGGCACGTGTTACTCGAGTATTCGGTTCGAATATTTCAACCTGACCAAACGGGATTTGCCTTTTCCCATGATCAGTGTTCGATGCCGTGTCTCCGGAGCTGTTGACGTCGTCGGTGTTTGAGAGGAAACGCGTAAGTACATGATCATCGGCCCAGGTACGGCTCTGTCTCAAGCCGCCGTGTTTGCGCACGCTGTTAGCTCATTGTCATCGTTCGTCCAACTTTCTCATAAGGATTTCCACTTCTCTCGTGCTGATTCTATGTTTAACAATCCCTACCCGCCTTCCCTTTGGTATCCTCATCCAGGTGGTCTCTCGAGCGCCGCCAAGGTGTCAATGTTTTGCCTAGCCATTAAGATCGTTAGCCCATCTACGCTGCGTTCGACAGTCGAAGGGCGATTCTAGAATTTTACTTCAGAAGTTGGGATAATTGCTTGGTGTAGAAAAAAAGAACGATATTCTTCAGTTTGTAATAATACGATACTTGGCTAAAATTTTTTGCTATAAGTTCCTTTTTGGAAAATATTTTTAAACTATGTATGCATATGATAATATACTATATTGCTATTTATAAATATAAATGCATGCTAAAATAATTAATCTAAAATAATATGTTAATAATAACATAAATTAATCATCAAAATGTACATTATATTTAATGCAATAATATCAATCGCATTATAATAATTGTACAATGTAATAAATAATACGCTGTAATAATTGCATCAGATGATACCGACTACAAAATATATTTGTTATACTAAACGAATAAAATATTGATAGCGGTCGGTGAGTCTCCTGCAATGGAATTCGAAAAGTCTGGCGCATACATACCGTCGGAGAGAGCGTCAAAGAAGAATGGTGCGCCAATGTCTTCGCCGGTGGCGCAGGTAGGGATCGACGATCGAATCTTATAGGGTAAGATATGAATGAGAAGAGGCCGAAAAGATCGGTCAACGCTATGAATGGCTGGGAAAACTGCGACGTTTTTTTATACTACAAAACATGCTTCATCTCGTCTTCGTTTCTCCTACTACTATTCTTTCATGTTTCTCAGTTGCTCCATCAACGGCGGCGATGTGCCGACGGTGATCCTTTTGCACTTCGCTCCAAATGAGTCCTGAGAGTGGTCCGGAATCTAGCCCCCGCCATTGCCTCAGGCAAATACTTCGGCTCCTTTCAACTTGCAAAAAAAAAAAGAAGTATACCAGACCTCGTTGTAATTAGGATAGTGTGCCCGCATGGACAGCTACAGGGAGTCTTCGCCACTCACCATTCATTCTTCTTCTTCACTCGCTATGTAACTCGCCTTGTCCTTCTTCGTCCTCGCCTCGTCGCCATTCTCGGATACCCTGAGGGCGTCCTCCCACTATATTCTTAGTAGCCCTCAAGACAACTTTCAATAATGTCGAGACAAAAGACTTCAAAAGTTGAGTAGTTCTCGCAGCTTACCGCATCATTGTTAGAAACAGACACTCAACTATGCCAACAAAATGTCATTTGAGTACTTCATTCATTATTATATACAGAAATTATTTATACAGAAATTATTTTATCACAGAAATTATTTCATTATTTCATTCATAAGAAAAAATATAAAATCTGTAATATATATATATATATATATAGTTTTCATATATACTTTTACATTTATACAACATTCTTTTTATAAAGTAATCATACTCCATTATTAATTGTTTTTCTTCGATAACAGCGAAAATGTAAGGAAATTGAATTTTGTAGTCACTAATCAAAATAAAAACGAGATATATGGTCACCCTTAACTGCTGCTGATTGAGGGGGCGGTGCTGTGCTAATAGGTTCCATCCCCCGCCCTCTTGGCATGGGTACTGCGTTCTAAAAGTCTAGATTTATTTCACAACTAATTTTGCCTTGTTAGCCGATAGATTAGTACAAAGAGTCTATTCTTATTTCGTCAGCAAAATGCGTGCACGTCCCTCATCACAGCTAAATACATATTAATGATAACAATTGCTTGAAAACTATTCGTTTTCAAAATATACGCATATTACGTTTCACATGTTTATCTGTAATTTTTCTCATTATACCATATCTGAGCAGATAAAATTATTTGACATTATGATATGTGATAAATAATGAATATTATTTTTCTCAATCAATAAATTTGCATGTAATTGTTTCTATTCTTTTTTTCGCTGAAAACAGATTCTGCTAAAATATAATTAAGTATAAGTGCGAGCACAGAATATTTAAAAAGATGGATATTATTTCGTATAAAAATATTCATGGATGCGAGTATTATCTATACAGAAAAGATACTTAATAAAGTAAAGAAAAACATCTTCTCTTGGTATTATATTATAAAATAGGCAATACGTATTAGAAACACAGAAACGCAAATTATAATTATTTCTCGTGTTAGCGATTGCAACGCGTTTTCTCTCGGTCAATGGTAAGATGGCTTCAGAGAAAAGAGGTACCGTTCATGGGAACTGTGAGACCGCTTCCTAGAAGAGTGAACACAACGCAGATATCGGTTGGAAGAAAGGAAAAAGAAGGACTGTAGAGTCGAATGAAGAGGGACGAACGACATGGAAATACCACTCTTTCGCAACATCGATGTCGCCTTGTATACGGACGGCGTTTTTACCACGGCAGCTCGGGGCCATCGTTTTCGGCAAGTTGTTCCGGTCGAACGAGATGCATTTTGTCGCGAGATAACGTGTGGATTCGGGCACGTGGGTGGGACAGCGATAACCGGTGAAACACACGAACACTTTTAACAGCTAATTGCCGTAGATAGGAACGATCAAGAAGTTGGCCGTGGAGTCGTGGTAAATTGTCGATCGTTCTCGCAAAATG